AACCCCTATTCCCTCAAACAAACGCCATCGAACTATCCATCCTTTCTTCTCTCTCTCCCGCTTTTTTGTTTACACCAGTAGATAGAAGGCCACACGAGAATTGTAGACGGGCTTAAATATTATAGGCATCATCGACGCTGCTCGACGAAGACGGTACCTGTAAACCTCGTAGTCAATGCAGGTCATACGCTCATTCAAGGGCTCACCGGCAGTGGCTCGAACGTAAAACCGTTGTTTGTAGTCGACCCTTTGGGTTGAGGTTCTTAGTCTCAAAGCTTCGGAATACAAGACACTTTTCTAAATAACATACCAATCTCGTACCCTTGTGCCTGGACATGAATTTAAACTGTTCCCATAGCGAGATGGTTTCTTGTTCCACCGCTCCAATGCCCCGGTTCTGTACAAAAAACTTTAAAGAGCAAACGCTCGCCTCTTGCGATATGTAGTTGTGGTTAGTCGTATTCCGATTCCCGCGTAGAGGATATGGCAGTCAATTACTATACAACTCATATCGATATGGTGTTGGGCAATGGTAGTCCGTAATCATAGATGTCTAGTTACGATTGTTCAACTGGTTTATGCTTTGCAAGTCCTTTAGCTGGTACGATCCCGGCACAGTTACCAACCTTTTCTTTTTGAACCACATGATACTTGACCTCCTCGTGGTGTGGTTCGGGTAATGCTAACAAGCATCAATCGTTCAAGGTTGTAAAACTTTCGTATCAAGTATAAAATAATACCATTTGAAAGTAATATTTGTATTTAAATGTAGAAATTACAACAATAAACCATTAATAATTGTTTATGCTAATTCATATGAAGACTTCCTTTATAGTTCAATTTTGGTAACAGAGATAGAGGTGCTGATATTAATATTGCAGTAAAGACATGTAAACTCAGACTTGTACAGATACATGATTATAGCATAAACTTGGAAGGAGCTATATCTTGCTGGCTCCCTTGCATCATTGTCTGATTGTTTGCAATGATATGATTATATGCAAAATATGAGCCGCATTTAAAGAATAATGTCATGACTACATAGTAATAGAGATTCCACGAGGTTAATTGTTGTACAAAATGCGCTTTTAGTCGCATATTTAAGCTTTACATTCGTCCGACGAAGAAAAAAAAGAGGGTATGGTCAGTTTGTCATAAATCATGTGAGAGTTGAAAGTGGAATGGAATTATTTTCCAGACTCAAATGTTGAATAAACCACGCTTTAAGATCATATTGCATGGATATATTAATATTGACCTGATTACTTTACAGGTTATGGAGCGAATTAACTAGCGAACTCTGCCTGGTATTTAATCGAATAGAGAACAATGTCAATTATCTAATCATATAAGCAAAACAAGCAAGTATCTCAGATTGAGCAGATTGACTTTCACAACAATGGCAGCGTCACGTAGGGAAATTTCAAATTTTGTAATATTGGGTAACTCGGGCATACGAATACGAGGGCACATCTTGCCAAATCTGCTTATTTCAAAACGCTTATTGTTATTTCACATTCATCCGTCGGTAAAGTTATTGGTATTAACGCGCTGTCAAGGTTATTAATCCACTTTCAATCACATGATTTTAATATTAACGAGTAGTATATAGAGAACCGATGATCCACCATTCCACAGATTTTCTTCGATATACAGTTTCTTTTGCAGCCTTTAAAAATATGACAGAGGGCGGCCGTCATATTGCTATCCTTGGTGTAAACAAAAAAGCGGGAGAGAGAGAAGAAAGGATGGATAGTTCGATGGCGTTTGTTTGAGGGAATAGGGGTT